TCCCATAAGGTGAGCACGGGCCCAAGTGCATCTGCTAAAATAAAAAATCTGAGAAATAAAGTTATAATTGCAAGACTCTAAAAACTAACCAGCTAAGGCATTCTGTCCTACCGTATGCCCAGCAACCACCCATGTCATCGAAATGAAACGAATTGATGCAAGTGATTTGAGACTTCCTTCCTTATGTGGGCTTGTCTCAAATATAGCGCCTCCATTGCTGTAGATGGAGAAGGCAAGAAGCAGACGGGTAACTAAAAGGGAATTGGTAGTTTTACCCAAGACTAACCTTTCCTTTTTGAAATATCCCTTACCTTTTGCTTCCCTGTCCACTCTCATGTGGTAGACATCTGAAGCGAAATCAACAACAGTTGCAAGCACAGCCCAAAAGATAAAGAGAGCCATGAAACTCCTAAGAAAAGAATAGAATCGTAAAATCTGGATCCATAGAAGGGCTCTTCTTGATGAGATCGGAGACTTACATAAATATCCAGAAAGCAGTTGTAGGTTTCACATTTGTTGGTACGCAAGTTGAAGATGTATAGGTAAGAGGTATAATACCTCCCATTTTAATGGAATCTAGCACTTTCGGGATATCCTAAAGAAAATAAGGTTTCTTTAACCTTTTCAAGTACTGAACGAACCATAGAGCAGTTAGAAGTAGATCTGCTATACAAATTGAGGATTTAACCTGTGGAATTAAGTGCAAATAAGAAGTTAGAGTTTTCAAATTTTATTTTCAATTTCGTAGTAAGGAGCTTCAAGAGCGTGTTGTTATTGGTAACCACTACAATTCTCAAAAAGGGTTTAAGAAAGTATGAATGGGTAAAAAAGCCTGGATATTCCACACCAACTACCCCACAGACTTCTACTCCCTCAACCAAGCTTACCTCTTCGTTGCAGCTTTTCGGCATACAAACAGCCATTTTTATACCAATCGGTGAACCAGTCTGTAAGTTTAAGATATTGCCTGCATGTAAATGCTTAGTTTAATGTACCTGATTTGCAATTTTAGCGGTAGCATAACAATAATGGACATCGT